GGCTGAGTCACACTTCACATCTCTCCCCCGAGCTGATGAGTGACTGTAGTCGTGAGCGAAGTCGGAGAGTCGTGGAGCACGAGAAGGAACATTAATCTGACAGAAACTTTCTTTTTCTTGTCTTTTATACTCAAATTTCTCATTCTGTTAAAAAAAAAAGGCATTTGCCAGGATGTTTTTTCTCTCTCTTAACATCACAGCGCGATGAGGGAGGAGGATGATACACATGACAGACGACCCATCTGGTGTTTCTGCTGAGTCTCCATCATCACCTTACTCCATCACAGCACCTCACACTCCACCACGCCGGCCTCCGTCCTCGCTTCACCGGCACACAAGTCTATTTGCACAGCCTTCCTAATCACAGTTGCCGTCTCAAAGGGCTTCCTGACGCCCACGTTACGGGAACAATGAATGCATGCGCTGACCTCTCCGACCTTTAGACTCTCGATGAGCAAGAAATCCTCCCACTAAAGCCTCAAATTCAAATATGAGTAGGTGTGCGAGAGAGCGGCTGTGTGTGTGCACGTGGAAGCAAGAAACAGAGACGGAGGGAGGAAGACGCGGCTTCACAAACTTTTGATTGATCTGTTTACGTGTTTTTAACTTTTGGAATAAATCAGATATTTATTGTGTTTAATGCTGTTCTGAAAAACGGTTCGTTTCAGCCGAGCGGTCGCGTAAATTAAGAAACAGAGAGAAGCAGCGGAGGAGAAGAATCTGAAGGGAAAGAAAGACAGTAAGGAGGGAAAAAACTAAAGACAGAAACTCCGATTCCACGAGGAAGACGCCCTCATTCTGGTCATGGAGAGAAAACTGTGCAATCTGTGCTGGGCAGCGGAGAGCAGATGTGTTCGGCAGCAGCAACGTATGTGATGAGCCTGCTGACAAGATCCAAAGAGGAGGTTGAAAGGAGGAGCAGACAGGAGATCCATCCCAATGAGAAACAGCCTCTGCTTTACCTGCTCATGCAACAAACAAGCAGCAGAGAGAGAAAAGTCTGTTTGTGTGTGTGTGAAAGCTTAATCCGGTGTTTGCAGGATCACGAATCTTCACTAAAATAAACATTAATTATCTGACTTCAATTTGCAAAAACATTCGTCGGCTCTTCCTGACAATATTTAAGCTTTTTTCTTTGTAATTTAGAAAACAGTTGCACAATTTTTTTTTTGTTTTTTTTTTGCTGCCAGGCTTAATAGAAAGGCTTAATAAAAGAGGCTTAATAAAAGAGGCTTAATAGCCTCATAATATCACCCTCATTTGTTTGGAGAGAGCTTTCAGACAAGTGCCTTAAAAACACTCGGCTCAATTTATTTCCAGTGGCTGCGGTTCGAGGATAGTCAATTACCGGCAGGAAGGCGAATCGTTTATCCAGCGTAAATATGACGAGAGGTTTGTGTGGAAACGATCGTCAAACTTATCGTCCATCTCTTTGACTCGCACTGTAATGAGTGACTGTCAAAGAGTTCTGAGGCTGAATGCCGTCTGAAGCAGGTCTGATGCCTGCTGACGATACCAGGAACCTTTTATTCAAGCTTGGGTTTGATCACGGCGGTGACGATTGTGACACTGACACAGATAACGAGGTGCTCGCAGGATGTTTTTTCTGAGGCAACAGAAACATGTCCCAGGTATGTACTTATCTGATTCACAAAACCCCTGAAGCACCATAACAGAAGCGTTTGAGAACATATCGGCTGGCGAGAGCTATATATCATTTTTATTAGTTTTCCCGCCGTGTCCTCTCCACTTAGGTGCTGCTGACATGTTGCTGTATTGAGTTTTCCTGTATGTATGTATGGATGTGTGAAAGTCGAGGAGGTGGAGGCAGCAGGTCACCGTGTCCAGCTGATATACGACCTGGTGGTCTGGAGGCTCCTTCTGTCCTCTTGTTTTATGGGAGGTTTTGATTTTCTGCACATTCCATCCAGTATTTATCTCACTAATTGCGGCAGTCAGTACGTTTCTCAGAATCTGTCAGAATGTGTTTCATTTAATCTCCTGATCACCTGCCTGATATCAGTCCAGTCTCTCGTTTGCCAATATAGCTCCAACTATTTCTTTTTTGTTTTACATTTTTTTATTTGGCCAATAACACTTCAGCTATCTTCCTCATTTGGTTGTTTTCACGCGTCCATCGTTTCCATTTCCTGCATTTATTTATGCACACTGTTGCATGTTATTAACTCTGTGCTTTGTCCTGTCTGTCCTCTCTTTTGCAGGTAATCCCGGTTCTGCAGCTCCTACAATCTTGTTTATCTCTGCTATCCTTCTCTCTTTCCCCTCTTTCCTAACACCAACCCATCCGTCCATCTATTATCTATACACCTGTTAATCCCCACTAGGGTCGCGGGGAGGAGGCTGGAGCCCATCTAACACCAACCGAGTCGAGATAAAGGGCTATTCTCCTCTATACTGGTGCACGTGTGCAGAAGGAATCTTTGGATTTCTTGCATTTTGCATGTATATTTTTGGAAGCTTTCATTGTTAAATTAGTCAGGTAAATCTTCATAATTATTATTCTATAACCTGACATTTCATTTAGTTTGGTAAATTAGTTTTTCATATCCTTTTGTAGGGCTTTAAGGGTAAAATTTTTCATGCTCGGGCAAATTACCGTCATAAATCACACTGCGGGGTGTCAACCTTCATTTTAAACTTGACAATATTAAAACCACAATCTCTCTCCTGGAGACCACTTTGGTTCAACACTTGCTGTTTTAAAAGTTTTATACAAACTGTGATGACTTGACTCAACTAAAACTGGCCTTTTGTAAGAACTGGACTAAAACATAGTTTTGTCTAAAATGACATAAACAACATATCTGCAGCTTATTTGTTGTGGCTGTCAATACTAATTTAAAGTCATTTTGATTTAAACAAAGCACATGAGCAGAGTCACATGGCAACACACTGCAGCTCTGCTAGCATACAAAATGTGTTTTTTAAGCTTTAAAAGTGTTTGCAAACAAACAAACAAAAAAGCTTAACATTTCTAGAAAATGTACTTAATGTTCTCTCCTAGGACGGGTTTGAAGGGATGTTTGCCTGTTAGGTATCCAAGAGGCAATTAGTGTAGCTTAGCATGAAGCAGGGGTAAACAGCTCCCCCTACTGACCCTACTCTGCCATTCTTACCGTAACCTTAACTAATCTGGAGATTCTCAGTAAGCAGTCTCACAGCTTTATTCGGGATTTCCTGATCAAGAGTTTATTGTTTTGTTCCCAATCCAGTCCGACTCATTCAATACTTAGCATCTGTCGATACCATTTCCCGAGCTAATATACACTTCAAGTTTTGTACAGTAGCCAGTTGTACTTACTGTTTAAGTGACCGGCGGAGGTGGGCAGCGGGAGCGTTGTGGGTGTTTCACTAGTCAAGGGGCACCATGGAGGAGTCTTCTGCGAGGCCTCATGACCTTCACTTCCACTGCCATCATCAGGTACGTAGGACTCCTCCAGCAGTTTCAGCACATGAAAAATACAAAAAAAAAAAAATATTTTCAGATCATAAATTATTGATTGACATTGCTGTGCATAGTGAGTAAATTATTCAGCATAAAACAGCAGAAGTAAACAAAGGATTGGGCTTCAGTTCTTGCCAATACTAAGTAGTTAAAAATTGCTGTGATCAACCCTGATTCTGATCTAAGGATCAGGTTTGAGACATCTAAAAAAAATTTTACCTTTATGTATAAATAAAACAAATAATATTCTGAGCGATATTACTATTTGCTAGTGTTTCCTCTCTCAGTTGCCTCTGACTTCATTTAGCATGCTAACATGACAGTGGTATCGGTCCTGTCATGTTTTGCAAGAAAGTAAATGCAAAAAAAACCCAAAATACTCCTTTAATAGTGAAAAATATGTCACTAAAAAGCAAATATCCTTCATTAATTTTAGAAAAAATAATATGTTTTGGTATTTATGCTAATGAGAAATGAGTGGTGATGTGGGGTTCAGTTAGCTATTAGCTTAGCATTACATACATCAACAAACTTCCTGAGCCTGACGGACTGATCCACACATCGGAACAGCTAAAAGCACCGAACGCCTGATGTGCATCATACAGCTAATATGAGGATTCATTATCCTCATACTGGAGTTGGGATCATTCATGTGGAATAAACCGCATATTCTCTTACTTATAAGATCAGCATCTCTTTAGGTATTTGGTACACAGATGGATAACGAACTTAGCCCGTGTAATCCAGCATATCTGGCCAAGCAACGCTGGATTGCATCATTGGGACTGATATATTCGGGGCCATATGTTGTTGCAGGAGCTACAGCAACAACTTCTACCGTGTCTATAAATCCTATTGCATCTATAGCCGGTGAAATTAGACGCCATATGGGCAACAGACAGCACAACTTTGTGTCCAAAGTATTTACACTGGAGCTACTGGGGTTCTGGGAAGGAAAAAAAAAAAAAAAGCAAAATCAAATTCAAAGCTACGGGATGACGTGGAGTTTTCGGCAGTGACCCGTTTGCCTGAGGGGGGGTTTAATCCCAACTTTAATCTAGATTACATCCACATCTGGCATGTTCCTGCATGCCTCACCATCCTTCTTGGACCCCACGGCGAGGCAGACCACTCTTCTCAGAAAAAGTAAAGATGACTCCGACCAGTCTGAAGGGTCTCCCAGGACGTAACAGAGCAGAAGCAGACTGGTTGATCCCACACCTGAAGACACTAAACAGAGCGTCTTTAGTTGCACTGCATCACGAAAATCTCTGTTTTAAAACCGCAGATTTGTGGAGACACATGGCTCCCGTCCAGCGTGGTGTAATTGTGTACATGAAAACAAGGAGGTGATGTAAGACGGGGATTGTCACAGAATTCACTGAATACTTATCTGTCTGGCCGGGACAGCTGCTTCTGGTTCTTCGTCTCTCTGAAACGTTGAGCGGCAGGACTCTGATTGAGCATCCCGGACAAGCCGAGGAGATTAGACCGTCATACCCGGAACAAACCAAAAACGCTGCAGCCCAGAAAATGGATTTCTCTCAGATTACTAGGAGAGCTTTTATTTGGAGCGTTGCAAAGTACATTTCATGGTTGTTAGCGTTCACTCTCTTTCACTCGCACACCCTCCCTCTCCAAAACAAACACTCCCTTCTTTCTCTCCATCCTTTCATTTCCTCATTGGTTTAAAAAAAACAAAAAAACAAAAAACAATTTGGATGATTCTGCAATATTTCAACACAGTTTACCTGGAGTGTACAGTAGAGATCAGAGAAATCATCGCTTCGTTAAGTCCAAGCATACAAATATACATGAGAGAGAGAGAGATCGATATACAGTAGATATAGGTAAAACTATGAGTTTGTCTATATTTCTTCTCAGAACATGGCTTTAAGCTTCTCAAAAATAAACTAAGAGGAGCACTTCTTTGAATTCATGGCAGAAAAGTAGAGTATACAGTATGACACACGTCTGCGATCATACTGTAGGCAACTTATTAAAAAGTAATGAGAATGAAACTAAAAGTTGCAGTCAGGCTTATAAGTATTCTCACAGTGGAAGGAACAGCAACTTTGGATTGAATATTGCATGTTTATGGAAGCAGCTGTTACTAATATTGCTGCCGAGGCGTTCTGGTCCGACGAAACGGACCGTCCAATTTAAAGGGTTTTGTGTCCTTCAGTCTGCAATGCGCGCACGTGTACTCCTTATTAATGACGAGGAAAAGAAATGCTTTTTAGTTCAATCTCTTTTTATCCAACGCGGCACAGATGCCGTCAGAACGTCGTGGATAGTGAAGCCTTTGTTGCAGCCGTCACTTTGCAGTACTTTGAACTGTATGCAACACAGAGATTGGTGGACTCATATCTTCTTGGAAGTTTAGGATTGAGTCAGTCAGTCAGTGTAAATACTGTTCAAAAAGCTGCAGCGGGAAGGCTGTGGTTATTATTTCCTGCAGCCTCGCCACCTTTCCCGAGCAGAGCCAGGGACTCCAGAGAGTGCACGCTGTCCTTGTCCAGACGTAATCCCAGTCCGGGCGGAGCTGAGTCCTCCCTCCCTCCTTCACCTCCGGCCTCCTGCAGCTCCCCCGTGGCTGCAGCAGCCGCAGCAGCCGCGCACTCCTCTTTGAACAACCGGTCGTGCTCCATCTTGAGCTCCTGGTAGGAGCGCGAGAACATGTGGAAGATGGAGGTAGCGGGGAAGGCCATGATGAGGATGCCGCTGAGGATGCTGCTCAGCGCCACCACCTGTCCCGGTATGGACCTCGGCACCATGTCGCCGTAGCCTACTGTCGTCATGGAGATGATGGCCCACCAGTAGGAGGCGGGGATGCTGCTGAAGTCGTGGGCGCCCGTGAGCTCACTTTCAGCTAAGTGGACCAGCGGGGAGAACAGGGTGACGGCCACACAGAGGAAAAGCAAAAGAAGGCCAAACTCGCGGGTGCTGCGCCTGACCGTCAGCCCCAGCGTCTGCAGGCCCAGAGAGTGGCGCGCCAGCCGCATCACGTAGAGAATCCTCAGCGCCCGAAGGATCCTCAACACCAGGCCCAGCTTGTCTAAGTAGCCCTTACCTCCTCCTGGCCTCTCGTGCTCCATGTCCGGGTCCTCCTCTTTCACCACGAGCGAGACGTAGTAGGGCAGGATCGCCATGGCGTCGATGATGTTGAGCGGCCCGCGGAGAAAGTCCAACTTGCTGCGGGCCTGAATGAAGCGCAGGATGAACTCCAGGGAGAACCAGGCCACGCAGACCGTCTCTATGATGAACATGTTGTAGCATTTGGAGGAACACTCGCCCTGAGGTGGAATGAGAAGGCGAGGGGGTTGGGGAGACGGGGAACGGTAGAAAAAATGAGGTTGAGATGGGCGGGGATGGACAGGAAGCAAGATAGATGGGAAGACAGGCATGTGGAGATGGAGAGAAGACAAAAATCCTGAGGTCAGATAATCATCCTTGGTTATCATTAATAAATCATGAGTTACAGTTGCTCAGTATGCTAAAGCCACCGCAGCTGCACTGACAGATAATACAGTGACACAATCAATCAATTATTTCATTTGGGAAGACTTCAAAGATTCATTTAACACTCTGGGGGAGTGGTGACAGAATGCAATCAGGCTCGCATGCCCTCTAACTACAGCAACAAGGAACAGCAATGAAATAATGAAAACCTCCATGAAAGAACACTGGGGAGACGTTGGAGAGCTGAACACGGCTGTTAACTGACTCGTCTTCAAAGCTTTTCCTTTTTTTTTTTTTTTTTAACAAACTACTAAATTTATTCCACCTCCTCGTATTTCCACCTCCCAATGCAGACGCTATTATCTGTAATCACTTAATTTAATATTGAGCATGGCAATGAAAACTGGTACTGAAGCCAAAAACACTGAAGTCGGTGGGGAACAACCCAATGAATCCGCAATTAAGTTTGCAATGTGGCGACCGGAGACCGACCGGAGAATGCCAATGAAATTCGCTGACATGTAGTGATGACAGGCGCAATAATATTTGACAAGAGGCGCGCGGGTATCGAGTTAAACTAATCACAACTTTAAGGCAATGCGATTGAGGCGTCTACCAATGGGAGCGAGGGATTACTGTGAGTTGACAAACGATGCCATCGCTGAGTTCTCCGAGCATTTCGCAAAACAAAGCAACACCGACAGCTTCGGTTCCCTCACTGTAGCCACAGCAAAATGGAAGAACGGTTCATCGCTGTGGTTTCTAACAAACTATCTATAAACTGTATTATGTCAAGTAAACACAACATAAATGTGGATTAATTGTCACCGTTGAAGCGTGTGTGAAACAACTGGGGTGGAAAATATACAGCAGGGCTACTGATTCAAACAGAGTCTGGAGAATGTTTTAGATATGGACTAGTGGCGAGCTAAACGTTTCCATTATGCACCTCTGGCATCCATTTTCTGATCTCGCCAGTTAGGTTTAGGGACGAATACAACTTGTCTTGTGGTTGAGATTGAAACAACTCATCTGTTAAGGTTAGGGGACCTTTGTAATCATGAAACAACAACAAACACTTGGTAAAGGTTCGAGAACGTTTGGGGACAAAAAGAAAAAAAAAAAAACGACAGTTGAGTCAGAAAGTCAAAATTGGAGAGAAATGGCCGCCTCCAGAGTCAAATTTTAAAAAACTGGTTGACCCATCCACCCAACCCAACCATGACTCCAGCTTTGTGGTTCTTTAGTTCCAGACAGGTGATAAATTCAAGTGAAAACCAACACATAGTTTCTCCGTTAGGTGTTGGGCCACCACATACCACCAAGACAACTTTACTGTGAATTGATATTGATTCTCCAAGTCTCAGGAACTCTGCTGGATGGATGGAAAACCATTTTTAGAAAAGATATTCCTCCCATTGGTCCAAATTCCCCAACAGGTGTTCAGTTGGCTTAAGATCTGGTGACTGCAAAGGCCACAGCTACCAATATGGCATCACTTCTGTACTGATCAAACCATTCAGTTGTGCCTTGTGGAAGGTGTGCTGTCTTCCGTTAGAATAGATGCGTTTCCCCAACAGCGTGAAGATGATCGCTGAAAACAACTTTGGATTGGTTCTGCTGGCATGAAGTGGGACTAACAGAACCACCAGAGTCCTCAGTGTCGGGGTCACGGGTTCGCGTGTTTCCTTTACTTTTTTCCATGTTTGTACATCACACTGCTCACAGAGAAGAACTGCATTTCCTGCAGAAGGTAGAGAGCTTTGAATGCAAACATATGGTTGCTGTTAGCATTTGCTGAAAGAACAAGAGGACGGTTTCCTCAGGCGCCCTGCTCTCCACACTCAGATTTTCTGGCTGCAGTAACTAAGAATGATGGCAGCGAGTATTAAATTCCCGACTCCAGTGTCCCCAAACAGACACCACACGCATATTCTCAAAACATTAAAAGTATTTCTCATCCTGAAGAATGTTCGAACATCTTTTTCTTCGGCGATGTGCAGAATTCCTTACTTGTTTTAACAAAGATAAAAGATAAAATCACAGGACATTATATTTATTATTAAGACAGTTTGCGTCCTCTCTCTCTGCCTCTTCTTTCATCAGTTTCTCCTCATTTCCTCCACTTTTTTTTTCTCCACTCTGCATTTATCTCTCTGCACCGTGTCTCATCTATTTCCCTTTCGTCTCATCCTTCTTTTCTGCCGCTGCCACCCTCTCCTTTCTCCTCCTGCCTCTATCTCCACCTTCTCATCACTCATTCCCTTTCCTCTTCCATCACCCTCTCCGGACTCCCTCCCCTCTCATCCTTCATTCTCCGCTTGCCCCTCACGCTGCCCTCTTTCCGCATTAAATCCTTCATTCGTTCACTGTTCCTCTGAGTGAAACGCAACTCCCACCACGGTTTCCTCTGCGCGCGATGCATCCTTCACATACGTGTCCCATTTCTCTCGCTCTCATTCATCACTCGTGTCCTCTCTGCCTTTTCCACTGATTCTCATCCCCACTGTGACTCTTAGCCTTTCACTTCATTCCCGCTGACTGATGTGTGTCTGCATAATTTGCAGTGTTGATGTGTCGGTAGCGATGCGATGTTTTGACTTTAAAACAGGTTCGTTCTGCATCCACTACACTCAGTGATACTGTAATGGTAGAAATTAAAGTCTGCATCCAATTTATGAGCAAGGACAGCCTTTCAGGTCCTCAGGCTTTTAGTTTTTATGCTCATGAAACAATCTGCCCAAGGATCTGAGAAAAGCAGATTACCCTCTAGTCTGTTTTATGAACTTATTTCATTAAATATTTTACTGTATTCAGGCTCTGCTTTCATTTTGTACAAATAGTCCTTTAATTAATTATTAACAAAAAAGTACCGACTACAGCAGTGCTATGTGGCTTCAACTTTGGAAAAACCATCTTATTTATCACCTGCGCTGACCCGACTGTATGCACGCAGCGTTTTGCAGCATCAGCTTCTTCCAACTCCTCATCGAAGCTTTACGGTGTTTACACAGAAAGAAATACTCAAATCCAAGACGCCCTGTTTTCTACGGCTATAACTGTCCATTCGGTGGAAATATTCTCGGTGTTGTGCATCAGTTACAACACAAACATCAGGCCGAACATATCTGGTGTCTCCACCAGTATGAACATCGCAGCTCTGTGAGTGAGTAACGTATTGGTTTGTGATGCCATTTAGGTGAAGGCACAAAACTTACTCATGTTAAATCATATGGCTCTATTACAACAGTGAATGTACAAGTGTCTGGAAGCACCAAAGTGACTTTTAGCAGTAAAACACTTTAAGGTAACACTAGAGACAGACTAAAACCTATCTTTGTTGGGGTTTCCAGCCTCAGCACAATCAAAACGTAAAGACTCGCCAATAAAGCAGATGTCTGTTTCACTTCAGAGTTCTCATCATCATAATTGCACCAGATGGACTTCTAAACTGTAGGAATGTTTTATAATAAAAGACTAGAAAATGCAACATGAATGAGTTTAAAAGTGCCTCTCTGGGCGCCGACTAGACCACTAAAAGCTCACATTCTGACACATTTTGAAGTTTATTTGCATTGAAAATCATCTCTTCCTGCCTTTAAATGGCTCAGATGTAACTCTATACCGCTGCCCCTTTTAGAATCCATTCATTGCTGCTCGCAGCAGCTCGAGCACACCGGCTCACCTGGAGTCATCTCAAACAGCGCGAAACTGCTCTGAGCTACACAATGGCAAGCTGTGATATAATAGAGGAATTCAGCCACGCACGTTCAAACCAGAAACTGATTGTGAACAAGAATGACGGTACGCAAGGTCTCACCAAGCCAGCAACACTCAGCCATGACACTGACTGCCTATTTCACTCATAAGCTGTCTTCTAGCATAAGGAAACATTATATGGACATGTTAACAGTTTACTAAACTTTTACAAAAGGTGTGTTTACAACATGTTCATCAAACTGGATATAAATTACTTTCAGGCTGTGGTGTCAGGATAAACATGTCCTGGTCTGTGGCGACATCAAATGATTATTTTAGCTCCTTAGGGGGAAGTATAAGGAGACAAACCCACAGTATGGTGAATGTGTTCGGGTTTGGGTTGAGCCTACAGATGCCTACACGTGTTTCTGGCCACATGACAAAAGAGAGAAAGTTCAAAATACTCGCATTAAGCTTCGGTGTTCACCAGCTCCTAAAATATCTGGCTCTTTAGTTTTCTAATGCTTCACTTTGCTTCGTATTCCAGTTAGTCTGTTTGGTGTGAACAACCTTCGGGACCGACAAATTAAGCCACAGCAGAAGTGCCAAAAGTTTCTTCGATGGTCGCTTGAGGCGGCATTAAAAGAAAGTCAGTCCCCATAGATGTTAAAATGGCCGACTTTACAGCAGAAATAAACGTGATTACAGTCGGTAGCATAAAAACTGTTTTGGTCTCTACAGCTCAGTTCCCCTCTCAGGAAAACCGAGTGACTTTTTATATAACTCATTCGTTTAAACTGCATTAAGACTTAAAGTTATGCAAAATTAAGTGCCGTCAGACTGTCCACGGCCCGCTTCACATCCGCTCATGTTGGGATTGAGCAGAAGCTGGGGCAACATGTCGACCCACTCTTCAGGAAACAAACGTGTGACGTCTCCGAGGGTTTGTCCGTCTTTCTATCCGGCCAGTAGGTGCTACGTAACATACAGCACAGCGCAGAGACTCAGAAAGCTTTGTAGAGGTGATGGATGGGAAACTCCAGAGTCAGACGATAATTCTCTGAGGTTCATGACATCCTAAACATTACGCATTCAATTACAGCCCATTAATGCAATCAATTAGAGCAGGTTTAAA